TCCATTTTTTGTTGGGATAAACCTTGATCTCTCCTTCAATTCGGAATGATAGGCTTGCTGGATAAAGGCTTCTTGGCTGTATATTTTTCCTGTTCATCACACTGAAGATTTCCTGCCATTCCTTTCTGGCCTTCCAAGTGTCAGTAGATAGGTCTGCTACTACCCTGATATGTCTCCCTTTGTATGTTGGGGCCCTTTTATCCCTAACTGCTTTCAGAATTCTCTCTTTGTTCTTGTATTTTGCCAGTTTCACTGTATGTCGTGCAGATCGATTCAGTTTACGTCTGTGGGGAGTTCTCTGTGCCTCTTGGATTTCAATATCTGTTTCCTTTCCCAGGTTGGGGAAGTTCTCAGGTATTATTTGTTCAAGTACACCTTCTGCTCCTTTCTCTCTCTCTCCTTCTGGAATTCCTATGATATGGATATTCTTCCGTTTGATTGTATCACTCAGCTTTCGAACTCTCCTTTCATGTTCCTGGACCAATTTCTCTCTCTTTTTCTCGGCTTCCTCTTTCTCTATAATTGTATCTTCTAATTCACGTATTTTTTCTGCCTTTTCAATCCGTGCAGTAGCCAACGCCTCCATTTTATTTTGTGTTGCATTTTTTAGTTCATCAGTATTTGCAACAATAATGGCTCGGATGTCATCCAAGCCCTTTTGAAGCCCAATGAGTAATTTTATGAGTATTATTCTAAATTCTTGTTCAGTTATGTTGCTTAGATCGGTTTTGAGCAGTTCTCTAGCTGTTATTTCTCCCTCGAATTTCTTTAGAGGAGAGTTCTTCTGTTTTGTCATTTTGGCTAGCTTTCTTTCTCGTTAGTTTTAAAAGCTTGTGATGTGTTCTGCCCGTGTGAGTGCTGCTATATTAATATTAAAGGAGGCTCATACACTGTCCAGGGCCTGGCCGTTCAGGAAGTCTTCTTTGAAGGGTGTCCCTTGGTCTCTCTTGTGACTTTGGTTTTATTTCTCTACTCGTAGTGATGTTTTGAACTCTCCACGATGTGCACTTTAGGTTTGTTCCTTGAAGTAGCCTGTGCCACAGGTGCAGAGGAGGCGGGCCGTCTCCCGTGCCTCACGCCCTCACTCCGTGCGTTGTTAATGATGCCACCCAACTTGCAATCCCACAAGCCAAGGCACTTCAGGGCAGGGAACTGGTTCCTCCTGATGCCGACTGCGTCCCTGGGGTACCACCTAACCCGGAGGGAACTTCCACTGTCCAGTGCCAGACCGAGGCCACCAGTCCGAGGAAAGCCCCACAGTTAGAGGTGGGATATCTCTCCGAAAGCCCTGCTTCTCCGCGAGCGCAGACGGCAGGGTTCGCAATCTCTTGAGAGAGATTCTTCTGGGTCTACATCACGGAACCCAGCTGTTGTATGCTCCTAAGTGTTGTGGGGTTTTATTTTCATCCCACCAAACAAACACTGAATAAAAATGAGGGAGATTGTTCAGTGAGCTAGAGTTTCGTCCTCAACGCCGACAACATTTTGCTAGAATATCCTTAGTTGCCTAGAGCCGATTCCTTGGATGACTAAAAAGACTGCGTACCAGGGGCACCTGGGGGGCTCAGTCGGTTAAGCGTCCGACTTTAGCTCAGTCATGATCTCACAGTTTGTGGGTTTGAGCCCCGTGTTGGGCTCTGTGCTGACAGCTCAGAGCCTGGAACCTGCTTCAGATTCGGTGTCTCCCTCTCTCTCTGACCCTCCCCTGCTCACGTTGTCTCTCTGTCTCTCTCTCTCTCAGAAATAAATAAAATTTTAAAAAATTTAAAAATTAAAAAAAATAATAAAATAAAAAGACTGCGAACCAAAAAACACAGGCACAAACTCTGACGGCCTAATTAAAAGTGTGATTCTTGCCCCGGTGTGGAATACTAGCCCTTTTGTTAGTGGCCCAAGAGAGAAGCAACACCTCCACTGAAATCACATTTTCCTCCTCGCTCCCTCTCCAGTGCCACCAGTTTTTCATTAGCTAATCCCAATTAGAACACTTTTTTACTAAAGCCATAAATCTCTGCCGTTCCCAATAAGCATAAATTATATGGTAAATAACTGTATGCTGTGTCTATCCAGAAAAATAAAACCTTTTTTCCTTTTTTTTTTTTTTTCTGGCATTTCATGAGACTCTGAGCTGCTAAGTCAACATGCATGCGTTTTGATTTAGGATTTCGTTCCCTGCCCCCCCCATCACTCATCTAAAAGGCAACGCTTCTTTTAGAATGAAAACTACCACCAATGCACTTATCTAAAATTCATCATAATAAAAGTATGCTTTTTCTTCCTATTTCTGAGTGATTCCAGGTAGGGGGAAAAGCTTGATTGCTGTGTTAAATCTACCTCTGCCACTTCCTGGCTAAATGGCCCAGGACGCTCATGCTGGCTCAAACCCAGGTCTGTGTCATCAACAGAGGAGACAGACCTCCTAGAATTTTGTCCCAAAATAAATGAAGAAACTTAATAAACAATGTTTAGCATAGTGCCTGGCACAGAGAATGTGCTCATTACTATCTGTTGTTCATACTATACAAACAAAAGTGGTGATTTTTTTCGTTGTTGTTCCTTCCGTGGTCAGCAATTGCTTAACCCAACATTCTCTACGTTAAACTAATTAAAAGAAACATACCTTATCCGTGATTGATTTTCAAACTCATTTATTACTCGTTTCTCTATGGTTTAATTTAATTAAATTGAGCAGCATATCAAATATTGATTTTAATAAAATCTTGATTAAGACTCAAGCAATTATCAAACACAATTTTCATACCATTCCTGCATTTCAATGGAACCAACCAGAAAACCAATTTGCTTTTAAAATAAAGAAGTGATTTTATACACATACACATACACACACACACACCACCCTCAGGACATTTTCAGAAATACAGAAAAAAGTGACCACCCAATCTTTTCATTAGCAAAATAAGCATCACTCTCCAACTAGGGTTCTGAAAAGCTTAATCCAGTTTGTCAACTCATCTCCAATCAGAAGTGGAAGGGAAAAAAAAAACCTAGAATCAATTCCTCTGATATACATTAACTTAGCAACTACTATGTACAAGCCACTGTCCTGTACTGTCCAACACGAGCAGAGGTAGACAAGAGCTACAGCCAGTTTTAATATGTGTGGAAAAATCCATCCACACATGCAAGTCTTTAATTTTACTGACTAATGACCAGAGAAGTACATGTATTTCAAGTCTCAAAATGGCTCTGCTGTATGATTTATGTGTATAGACTATAGTTAAGAGAATACAATGTAAATGTGATGGTATAAATTACCAATAATATCATATTAGCATAAGACATTGAATAAGTTAAATATTTGGTTTGATAGTTAAGTGCTAAAAAAAAAAAAAAAAAAAAAGTCTGGCCAATAGCTATCACAGCAGCACCACCTAGAGGATTCTTTAAAGTAACACAGGGTCATTCCGCCAACTTGCCATTCTTCCTGTTTAGGCGAAAAGAAAGGCAGCTATAGAGTTCACCATCTGATGTCACTTTAAAGCATTTTAATTCTGTCCACATCATTTAGTATCTTCTTAAATCTTGAAATGTTTATGGAATAGCTAAATGAGATGGAAAGTTCTCGAAATCACATGACAATTAGAACGAGGATCCCAGCTGTCCTCCTGGGGAGGTGGAACTGGGCCCTGGGACACTGTGACCTGAGCCATGGCTCCCTCCTCCTCCCAAAACATACACACACACGCACACACACAAACACACACACACCTCCTTATTCTATCTTGATCCCAGACATACCCGCGCCAAAGACTGGACATTTGGTAACATTTCAAAACCATAATATTCCTGAAGTACTGTCCAGTGTGCATTTAGAGGAGTTGAGGGAAAAAAAATAAGCTTTCTGCTATTAAAACTGTTTACACCACCACATCCACTTGCTAATTCCCTTCCATTGGCCTGAGGTGAATCAATGTCCTGGGGATGGGTTGAAAGAGAAATAACAAAACATCTCACTTTGTTTTATATAGTTCTCATTCTATTGGTTTCTGTAGCTTTTCTGAACCAGGGAGCTGCTTTGGAGTCATGTTAAAAGGATTACAGGTGAGATAATAAAATACATCTGCTACTTATAGGAACTAGCCCTCCCCTTAGGCTATTTGGTTTCAGAATTTCAGGCATTCATGCAGAGCCTCAGCTGAGTGCAGCTTCACGGGGATTACAAACATGCACATTCAGTATGCCCGGGCCAGTGGGGCGCCTGAGGGGCACTCACCTTCATTTCCATGGGCGGGCACTGTCTACTGTCCACCTCATGAGAGGGGACGAAGTCACAGTTTGCCTGCAAAATCTGCAGAAATCTGAGTTCACCTGAACTCTGAAGTCAGGGTTCCCAAATGGGCACCCTAGTTAAGGGTCAGAGATGGGCAGCGAGTCATTCATGGTGATTCTCTACACTTCAGGTAAGTGCATTTGGGCCCAACTGACCAAAGGAATACAAGGTTTTGCCCAGAGAAACCTTTTCCATTCTGTATGCTCAAGCCATCACTGAAAGTCATGGCAAGCTGCAATAATTTTAGTTTTTTCAAATGTCTTCATGTTCTTGCACAGGCTTTTCTCTCTATCCTACGTCCACACCTATTCACCTCACAAGTTTCCGGTCTCCTTTGTGACTTAGCTTAGACACCACTAACTCCAGGAACCCTTCCAGGACTCCCTTACATTGGGTCAAGATGACCTCCTCTGTGCCTCATTTGCAGCCCATCCATCTCCCATGAGAATGCTTGATGTAATTACTTGTTTGCTAACCATGTTCCTCGTTAGGCTGTGGGTGCCATGAAAGCTGGGGATATTTCTATCTGATTCACAGCCGTATTCCCACATCCCTATAGTCGTGGCTCAAAGCCTCCATCAAGGAATGATTGCCCTGTATAAGTACGATTTCTGCTGGGGAGGACTCTGGTAATCTGCACACAGCCTGCATTTCTTTGCCTTCCAAAAACACGTGCCTCAATACCCACCATTTTTGCTTCCTCACTTACCTTGGTCTCTTAATCCCTACAGCCATCAGAAGAAAGGCACAAGGTAAGCTGCCTCTTGCCGTCGAGGATTATGGCAATTCTGCTTGGCACCTCTCCACCATCTCCAGAACTTGCTCTAGGATCCACAGACCACCCATCTCTATTCCTGAGACAGCTGCAAGAGAAGTAGTCAACCAAAATATTTATAGCAAGGATCTTTCTGGGACGTCTGGTGAGCTATAATGAAGCAGGAGCCAATTGGGAGGGAGATAAGAGCCCCCCTCCTCTTTCCAAGCAGGTAACAAAGTCTCGTTCTCTATTGTATGCAGTTGACATAATAGCACAGAAGGAAAACAAGAAAGTTCAACCTTGTCTCTGGTTCGGCTACTTACTGTGCCCATGGAAAGACTGTGATATTGTAGAGATGGAAGAGCATAGGGCCATCTAGGCAACCTGAAGAATGCCCCCAGTAGGCACCCAACTAGAGTCAGAAGCAGCCTGGGAAGTTCCAGGCTGTTATGAAATAGGATTTACCACTCTAGATCCTTTCCTGTCATCTGACTGCTTTGCCTCAGAGACTATATCTGCAAAATGAAAGTAAACCTGCCAGACTCAAGGGGTCATTGTGGGGGCAACTGAGACTGGGCATATCAAAGTGCTTGTTAAATTATGCCCACCCAACAAAAAATGAGAGATTATTAATATTAATAGATGGACCACAGACGGCCCCATCATCCCATAGCCATTATCCTCCATTTTTAAAGGTCTGCAGAGAATATTTCACTTCTAACATCCTGACTTAGGTTTAATTGGAAAATAAAACTTCTAGCCAAATTAGTCTAACATATATGAAATGATAATCAGTAGATCCTGAGAGTAAGAACCACGGAGAGATCATTTAGGGCATAATAAAGGGGATACGGCATATATAGTTGTGCTATTTTGTTTATTTCCATAGTTATAATTGTGTAGACAGGATCATACACGCTGTGTACTATAAGGAAACATTTTTTCAGCCAGTTCTCTTACACAAATCTCAAAGTCTTTGGTCATTCAAAAAAAAAAAAAGTTTTTTAAATTACCTGAAACTAGCAAAACACAGAATGAGAATTTCCTAAAACTAACAAAAGATATCAAGCCACAGTTTCAAGAGGCAAAATGAAACCCTAGGGGAATAAATACAAACAAAGCCACACACACACACACACACACACACGTGCCAAAAAAAAAAAAAAAAAAGAAAGAAAACCACACAAAATGAAACTTCAGTGTATTAGTGATTGTTTCTCCACATCCGTCCTGACATTTGGTGTTATCGCTATTTTTTATTTTAGCCATTCTGATAGACATGTAGTGCTACCTCACTGTGGTTTTAATTTCCATTTCCCTGATGGCCAATGATGTTGAGCAGCTTTTTATGTTCTAAGTTGTCATCAGTATATCCTCTTCAATGAAATGTCTTTTGCCCATTTTCTAACTGGATCATCTATTTTTTTTTTTTAATGTTGAGTTTTGAGAGTTCCTTAATTACTTTAGATACTAATCCTTTATCAGATACATGATGTGCAAATATTTGCTCTTAGTCTGTAGCTTGTCTTTCATTCTCTTAACAGTATCTTCTCATAGTTATTAACTTTAATTAAATCTATCAGTTTTTCCTTTCATATATTGCACTTTCGGTGTTAAGTCTATAAGCTCTTTGCCTAACTCTGCAGCATAAAGATTTTCTCATGTTTTTTTTTTTTTTCTTAAACTATAAAAGTTTTACCTTTACAAGTAAGTCTGTGATCCATTGTGAGTTAATCTGTATATAAGTCAAGGCTTTTGGTTTGGTTTGGTTTGGTTGCTTATTTTATTTACAGATACTGAATTTCTCCAGCACTGTTTATTGAAAAATCTATATTTCCTCCACTGAATGCTTTTGCATCTTTCTAAAAAAATTGGGTGGGTATATTTGTGTGGGTTCAGAGTTCTCTACCTGTTGCGTTGACCCATATGTTTATCCCTCCACCAACACCACACAGTCTTGACTACTGTAACTATGTAATGGGTCTTCAAACTGGGTACCATAATGCATCCAACTTTATTCTTCTTTTTCAAAATATTTTTACCCATTATATTTCCTTTGTTTTTCAATATAAATATTAGAATAATCTTTTCTATGTCTACAAAACATCTTGCTGGGATTTGGGCAGAAAGGGTCTGTATGTTAATTTGGAAAGAATTGGTACTCTCCCCCATTTATTTTGATCTTCTTCCTTTTCTTTAATCAGAAGTTGGTAGTTTTCAGCATATAAGTCTTATTCATGTTTTGTTATATTTATGCAGGGGAATTTCATTTCTACTTGTTTGTAAGTTCCTTGGCATCTTCTACCTAGTCAATCACGTTGTCTCCAAACAGGGACAGTTTTATTTCTTCATTTCCATCTGTTTGCCAATTATTTCCTTGCCTTGCCTTACTGAACTGGCTAAAAGTTCCAGCCCTGTATTAAACAAGAGTATGAAAGAAGACTTGCTCCCAATTTTAGGAGGAAAGGATTCAATCCTTCAACATTAAGTATGTCATCTGTAGCTTTTTTTCTGGATGGCCTTTATAAAGTTATAGATATTCCCTTTTATTCCTAGTGTGCTGTTTTTAAAAATCATGAGTATTAAATTTTCTCAAATTCTTTTTCTATCTCAACTGATAGAATCACTTTTTTTTTTTTTTTCTTCTTTAGCTTGTTACAGCAGATTACACTGAGTTTTGAATGGTGAACATGCTTTGCATCTCTGGGATAAGCTCCAGTTGGTAATGGTGTATAATTTTTTTATACATTGCTAATATTATTAGCTACTATTTTGTGGAAAATAATGGTCCATAGTTTTCTTTACTTCTTTCCCTTTATTAATTTTTGTATACTGTCATTGTCTGGTCTCAGTATCAGTGTAATGCTAACGTCATAAAATGAATTAGCAAGTTTTCCCCCTTCCATTTTCTGAAAGAGATTGTGTATATATCATGTTAAGTATTTTTGAAACATTTCACTGGACTGTCTAGTGAATCTTCAGTGAATCTCCAGTGATTTCTTCTAGGGAATTTTCAAATTATGAATTCAATGTCTTTAATAGTATAGGGCTACTCAAATTAACTATTTCATACTGAGTAAATTTTGTGGGAGGCGGTTTTAAGGAATTGGTCCACTCCATCTACCTCCTCAACTGTATGTATGTGGAGCTGTTTACAGCATTCCCTATCTTTTTTATATCTGCAGAGTATGTAGTGGAATTCCATGTTTCATTCCTGCTAATGCTAATTTATATTTTCTCCCATTTTTATCTTTGACCATCTTGCTAGAGATTTGTCAACTTTATTGATCTTTTCAAAAAACCGACTCTTTGTTTATCTATTGTTTTAAATTTTATCGATTTCTGATCTTTATGATTTATACTCTTCTGCTTACTTTGATTTTTCTCTTTTCTAAGCCCTTCATGTAAGAGCTCACATTATTAATTTAAGATGTTTTATCTTTCCTAATGTAAGCATGTAGTGCTATAAACTTTGCTCTCAACATTGCTTTAGTTGTACCCCACATTCTGATATGCTATATTTTCATTTTCATTTAATTCATTGCTCATTTGTTTGTTTCCCATTAAGATCTCCTCTGTGACTCATGGATTATTTAGAAAGTGTTGTTTATTTTCCAAATGTTTGGATATGTTCCTATTATCTTTCTGTTACTGATGTCTAGCCTGCCTGTGGTTGGAGAATATACTCTGTAGGATTTCAGTTCTTTTAAATTTGTTTAGGTGTGTCTTATGGTCCAGGATGTGGTTTATCTTAGTACATGTTTTGTAAGCACTTGAAAAGAATATGGATTCTCCTGATGTTCGTTGTTCTATAAATGTCAACTAGATTCTATTGGTTGATGATGTTGACTTTTCTATCCCTGGTGATTTTCTGTCTGATTCTTCTATCAATTGTTGAGAAAGAGGTGTTAAAATCTTCAACTAACACTGAGGTAATGCCCACTTCTCCTTTCAATTGTCACTTTTTGCTTTACAGTTTGCAAATATTTTTAGATTTGCTATATCTTCTTAGTGAAATGACCATTTTATCATTATATAATGGTCCTCTCTGTACCTGATGAATTTCTTTGGTCTGAAGTCCATTTATCTGATATTAATGTAACCACTCATGCTTTCTTTGGATTAATGTTTGCATGATGTATCTTTTTCTATCCTTTTATTTTCTATATGCCTATTATATTTAAAGTCAGTTACCTGTAGACAGCATATGGTTGTCATGTTTTTTTTATATATACAGTCTAATTATCTGTACCTTTTTTGGGTATATTTTGACTGTTTATATTTAAAGTAATTATTCATATGCTAGAGTGGATATGGAAGTCCAGGGTCCCCAAAAAGACTTCAGTGAAACTGTTGCAGGGGGTGGGGAGGTGCCTAATTACTTAACACTGAGCAGGATAAAAGAACTGATTCCTTATTCAGCCCTCTTTGACATCATCCTGGTAGAGGATGGGGGGCAGTTATAGCAAGGTGAGAGTGGAAGTCTATACTCTCCACCTGGCCTTTCTAGTCTTTGTGTGTGTGTGTGTGTGTGTGTGTGTGTGTGTGTGTGTGTTTGGTGTTTAGCTGGGGTAGAATGTTTATTTTCTGCAAGTTTCTGTCTTATTGACTGGCATTTTCCTGGTCCTCTGGCTAAAGAATAGGCTTTTGTTGGAGCTTTTTAAAATTTCCATGTTTGAGGGCGCCTAGGTGGCTCAGTCGGTTAAGCGTCCAACTTTGGTTCAGGTCATGATCTCACAGTTCATGGGTTCGAGCCCCGTGTTGGGCTCTGTGCTGACAGCTAGCTCAGAGCCTGGAGCCTGTTTCAGATTCTATGCCTCCCTCTCTCTCTGACCCTCCCTTGCTCATGCTGTCTCTCTCTCAGAAATAAAAAAAAAAAAAACATTAAAATAAAATAAAATAAAATAAAATTTCCATGTTTGTCAGATTTGGGGGTTACCAGCTTCTTCAGCTCCAAGTCTAGAATAGATGAGGCAACCCAGGTAACATGATCATGTCATTCCTTGGGTCCCAAGGTCGCTAGACAATGTGACTGATTCTTTCCATCTTTCAGAGTCTTCTTGTGTTTGTATATTTCTAGGGGTTTTAGTTATATTTAGTAGGAGGAACAGGGAGTTTGGAACATCTACTCCAAATTTCCAGAAACAAAAATCAATGATCATTTTTTAAAATTAACTATAACAATCATTTAATGTAATAATTGATATGTCAGGATTTAACGCTACATATATACTACTTGCTTTTTGATTGCTCTACTTGTTTTCCATTTTACAGTTTGCCTTTTTCCCTTTTAGATTATTTGAACAATTTTTAGTACTTTATTTTGACATATCTGTATCCTTTTTTACTGGTTGCTCTAGGGGTTATATCCCTCATTTTTCAGTCTACTTAGAATCCACACTTAAATACTTCAAGTGGAATATAGGATCCTTACTCTTAAGACAGATTCCCTTCACCCTCCCCCACTTTCTGTGGTAGTTATTTTACATATTATATTTATATACTTTGCAAACTCTGAATAATGTTATAATTTTATTTTTGTTTTCAACTATCAGTCATTTGAAAACTAAAGAGAGAAGGAACAGACTATTATAGAGATTAGCAAATTTTTTCAGTAAAGGGCCAGATAAATATTTTAGGCTTTTCAGGCCAGGTACTGTGGAAGTAATTACTGGAATTGGCCATGTGGACACTTCTGAAATGTAGACAGTGTTATATTTCTTCACCTGGTTGAGGATTACACAAAAGTTCACTTTGTAGTGACTCAGCAACCTAACTCTTGTTTCGTGCATTTAACTTTTTTGTGTGATACCTACCAATGAAAGTAATTTTGAAACTAAATAGATGTGAGAGCTTGAAAAATATCAGATTGTGGGGCGCCTGGGTGGCTCAGTCGGTTAAGCGTCCGACTTCGACTCAGGTTGTGATCTCATGGTTCGTGGGTTCGAGTCCCGCGTCGGGCTCTGTGCTGACAGCTCAGAGCCTGAAGCCTGCTTCATATTCTGTGTCTCCCTCTCTCTCTGACCCTCTCCTGCTCACATCGTCTTTCTCTCTTTCTCAGAAATAAATAAAACATTTAGAAAATAATTTAAAAATATATATATCAGATGGGAGACTCTGGAAATGGATTATCAGAAAAAAGATGGGGTACATAAAGCACATGGGATTTATTGCTCCCTCCAGCACTTCTATCCTTGAACAAAATTAATAGATGAGGAAATATTTACAGTTTGCCCTCAGCCCTGAGAGACTGAGAATTTCTACTAAGTGCAATTCACTGAAGTGGGAACTGTCTGCTGGAGCCAGAAGTTAAAAAATGAGGCTTGTTGGGGCATCTGGCTGACTCAGTTGGTAGATCATGTGACACTTAATCTTGGAGTCGTGAGTTCAAGCCCCACTTGTGTGTAGAGATTACTTTAAATAAATAAATAAATAAATAAATAAATAAATAATATGGGACTTGTGGAAAAATGAGATTAGAGGTCAATGAACTACATGAGAAGAATATTCTAAGTGAACGACAGGAGAAAAAGAATAAGAGAAGGAAGAGAAAGATGTCTTTTGGTGAGAAAGCCAACAATATGAATTCTGGATATTTTTTCTAGGAAGGGCATGAAGGAAAAAGATGTTGAAGAAAGGAAGTTAAAGAAGAGAGAGGAAAGAAACAGGGGAGGGAAGTAGGGAGGAAGAGTCTAGGGGAAAAGATGAGATAGAGGGAGAGAGGAGAGAAAAGGAATGGAAAAAAGGAAGGATGGACTAAAGAAAGGAAAAGACACAAGAAAGAAATGTGGCAAAAAGGATACATATTGGGCATCTGAGAGAGCCCAGGCATTTACTCATATGATTTAAATCTCATATCAACTCTGTAAGGTAGGTATTCTCTCTCCTCTTTTATAAATGAGGAAATGAAAGCTCTGAGAATTTATTTTACTCAAGGAAACACACCTCGGAACGTCCACCCTGGCTGCATGCAACTCCAGATTCTGGACTCAGGAAAACCCTTTCATTCCAACAGGGAGAATTCCTTTACGGTGAGAATTCTTATGTATATAAATGCTTATGTGACACTTGAGTCAGGCAAAGAATTACCCTAGAGGTAATTCTTGTCCTAATAAGTAGGAAATAGTTGATCTTCTGAAACCCTAAGCCTATAATTCTGTAACTCTATGGCATCAGGTCATATTATGTGGAATACTTATTGAGATCATTGACATCTTCTAATGTTGCCTTACTACTGAGGGTCATTTTCAAAGAATCTAATGAAAGAATCTAACATTTCACTCTCTGGAGTGAAAAAAGTACTAGAAGTTCTATTTAAGTTGACAAAGAATGCCTTATCTTATGAGAAAAAGGGCACAAACTATATTCCATCATCCAGTTTATATATAGTATTTGCCAACTTAGCATGAATGACAAAGATAGATAGATGTATGGGGTGCTATAGAAAATTCCAAGAGAAAACTCAAGATTATCAAATTACCCAGATTTCTTCATGCTAAGCAGAGAGTACTAGCAACCTACCAGTGAGAAAGACCTCAGACAAAAAACTCATCTCACTTTGACAAAATTCTGTGAAGAACAGTGGACTTTGTATGTACCACAAACTTGGGGGTCACTTCAGAGTACTTGAGAAAAAGGAATATACATTAATTCTTTTGCTTAAGTTCAAACTTATTTAACGCTTACTGTAGGTTAAAAGGAGGGGCAAGGGGGTGGGAGAAGAAGAGAAGGGGATAATTCACCAAAAAAAAAAAAAGGCATAAAAATTAAACCAAGCTACCTCCAAGGAATAATTAGAGGTGAAAATCAATAAGGAGAAAATGGCTCATATTCTCCTCATTGATTTCCTGTGCACAATGAGTCAAACTTGACTGTTGGTGAGAAGTCAGTTTGGCTACTTCTTATTACTTTTTCGGCAGTTGGGTACTCCTGTCAGTGTCTTTCATGCTGGAGTCTTTCTTGGCTCTAATCACAGCTGTCAGCTATTGAACGAGTTTGACACCCTGACTCTAGAAGCGAGGGATTCACACTCCATGCATATGCAGTTGGTTCCTTCATTAAAGCTGACTGAGATAACAGATATGGGGTGCTGCTGCTGATTTTTATAAGCAAAACAAATGGCTACACAATCAAGGATGGGTCTCCTTGATCAGAAACACCCAGAGAGACCAAGAATTAGTCTTTACAGAGCGCAGCCAGTATTACTGTAAATACCTATACTTTTCTTACTTACAAGGGTGGTATGGGCAGTCAGTCAAGACCCGGGTCTGCGCACACGCACACCTGACTCCTCCCCTACAATCTCAGCTGTCCATTCCAAATAATCTCGGTTGGAGTTGCAGGTGTGTGGTAAAAGGAGGATCATTTAGCTATGGTGATCTGGATTTTTGAGAGGCATTAAGTTTCTCAGGAGAAAGAGGAGAGAATGACAGTGACCAGAAAACTCCTCCCCCACCACCAAGAAAAGGAAGTACAGCTAGAGCTTCTCAGAGTACTTCTGTACATAATGCCATGAAATGACACACTCTGAGTTGAAATGGACCAATTAGCCCCAAATCACCAACTTCAAAATTGTTTCAGAGCATCCCTGACAAGGGCCCATTCAGATTCTAGTTGACATTCTTAGGAGGAAGCGTGCAGTGTTTGGCTGGAGACTGCTTTCGGGAAATGCAAGCACAAACCGCATCGGCAGTACAGAGAGTCGTTAAAGCATGGACCTGGGGGGGATGAATTCCCAACCTACACCTTGTATCTAGTAATGAGTGTCTGCCCTCCTCAAATCCCAGGACTTTATGCCTCCAGCCACCGCACTGTTGTGCTGCCCATCACAAAACAGTCTCTGCCTCCCAGGCGCAAAGACATTATCAATGCCCTTCAAAAGTAAGTGACTTCTGACCATCCCTAATTGATCTTTAACTGGTTTCTTCCGTCAGTTCCTTAAATACCTAGCGAAATGCCCTTCTGTGGCAATGTGTAAGGCCTCCGGCACTACCACCTGCACTTTTTCAGCGACTCAGAACTTCTGACAGATAATGACCAAAAAAGAAAGATCCTAATGAATTCAACAAATACAGTGGTGAGTATAAACTCTTCAACTGAATGAAGAGCGCTAAGGGGATGCGACCACTTGATGAGTGTAAGATGTAGCTTACCATACTGCTTTGGGTGTAAGGAGTAAGGAGTTATAAGTCAACAACATTTATATAACGTATATATAATATACAAATATATGTATTTATAAATATATAATGTATATCTGTATATATAAATATATATGTGTGTATATAAAATATATGATGTATATGTTTCTAAATAATGTATATACGTATACATATAATGTATATACGCATGTTTTATTAATGCGTAATGCGTATATACATATAATGTATATAATACATATATATTATGTATATAATGTATATAATTATGTATATATTATGTATATATTATGTATATAACTATGTATATATTATGTATATAATTATGTATATATAATGTATATAATTATGTATATATTATGTATATAACTATGTATATATTATGTATATAATAATGTATATATTATGTATATAATTATGTATATAACTATGTATATATTGTGTATATAATTATGTATATATAATGTATATAATACATAATGCGTAATGCGTATATACATATAATGTATATACGCATGTTTTATTAAACATATTTAATATGTACATATGTAATATATATAGCTGTACTATTCGATGCCGCAACATGTTTTTCTTTACGGAAAAAAACTATCGGTGGGGGCCGGGGACCACACGTATCCGCCTGCACAGGACACTGCGAAAGCAAGGACACTGGGCCTCGCGAAGCAGCTGAGTCCATCACCAAATCGCTAAAGCGGCCCCAGCCCGGAGTGAGACGGACCCATCCCCGGCTTCTGTGCTCCAGGGCACGTATCACACTTGGATAGGGTTGCTTCGTGGGTCGCATTCGGTCTGTACCCCCAGCGAGAACCAGCTAGAATGAACTCCGGCCCAGAGCGCCTGGCACGTGGCAGGTGGTCAATAAAACGCTTGTAACTGAGGAAGTGGCTGTTACATTAAGGCGTACCTCAAGGAAGGAATGAATGAATGGACGAACGAATGACCAGGCCTATGCCCGCTGAGCTTCCTCGGGCCCACGGCCCCGCGGGACTAGGTGCACCCAGGTGAGCGCCCCGGGCCAGGGGCCCCAACCTCCGCCTACGGCGGCCGGGAGGCGTCAAGGCTGCTTTAGGGCGGAAGAGCCGACGCCGCGCGGGCTGCCGATGGACCCGCCTACACGCAGGCGCGTGCACCCGCACTTCCGGGAGGTCACTTCCTCCCCCGTCTCCTAGCAACGGCTGGAAGCGTTGCTGACTTCCCGGGCGGCGGTGATACCGGACTGAGCCGAGTTTCGCACGATGGTAAATCTGGAGCCTCCGTCTGCGACCCGGCGCTTCAGGGGCGCCGAAGGCGGAGGCTTTCGCTGCCCTGTCCCCGAGGCCGACCCTGGCCCGCCGGCCCCGGGGCCGTGGCGAAGGCCGGGGGCTCTAGAAGCTTCTTAGAAAGGCGACAGGGAGACCCTGAAGGAGGGAGAGGGCGACCTTGGAGGGGAGAAGATGTCTAGATAGGGGAAGTTAGCTTGAGCGATAGATATCTAGGGGGTTGATTCTGGGGAGTGGAACTTGCGGGGTGCGGATACGGAGAAAGAGAAGAGAGAGATTGGGGGGTGAAAAATCTTGAGGGAGTGAGAGGGCTCCACAGTGAGGGAGATTTGAAAAGAGGCGAGACAGAAGTCAGATCCTGAGAAGGAAGGGTGATGCGACAGGGAGCGCAGGGGGGTGAGGAGAGGGGAGGAGGAGGCGATACTGAGAAAGGAGAAAGGAAAATAAAGAGGAAAGGGAAGAGAGAGTATAAGTAAGTAAATTAAATAAATAAATAAATAAATAGTAAATAAATAAATAAATAAGGAGAGCGGAGACTGGGGATAGTTTGAATAGGAGTAAGGTGAAAGTTTTTTTTAAGAGAGGAATGAAAAGGGGATTGGAGATGGGAATTAAAAGATTGTATTAGGAGGGTGCAGAAATCACAGGGGAAAACCTATTGGAAGGAGAGAGGGAAAGGCTGACAGCAGAAAGAGGCATTTGGGAAAAAAAGAGAAAAAACGAAAAAAGGGGTTAGTGGTGTAAGGAGCTATGTACATTGTCTTAAAGACGGCAGAAATGTAATATTGGATCCCCTGTATCACTCTTGTGCTTTAGGGCAGTGTTTCCCAAAGTGAGATGCAAACAGCAGTTGCTACATAAAATAGCTCAGAAATAACAAATAACACAGAATGAATCACAGCTGAGGAAGTTATTCCTCTTCCATTTTTTTCCCCCCAGCCTGGAGGCTATATCCAAGAGAAAGGTCCTGGCACTGTTAGGTGCTTAGTACCACTGCCATTTGGTAGTTTCCATGTTTCACCTGAGTATCAGACCTCAGGCTCAGACCTTTCTTTGGGGCAGAATTTAATAATAAGCACTCTCTCCCTTTTGTTAATCTTTATGGTTATTTCTGTTTAGGACAAATAGCAGATTTCCATTGTGGTACTGATGTGTAGTTTCCTTGTAAAACTCCATTTGTTTTTAGTAGTTTTTGGCAGTGAGGTAATTTAAAGAACATGCTAGGTATATATTATAGATGATAGTCGTAATGGCAAAAAGTGTGACTCCAATACATGAATGCCTTAAATTCAGAAAACAAATGCTGTAGTTGTGGTAAAGAGGAAATAAGTGTTCCTGTCCACATCAAATGCAAAAGAAGACTGTCTTTTTTAAAATGTTTGTATATTTTGAGAGAGTGTGTGAGCAGGAGGAGGGACAGAGAGAGAGGGAGAGAGAATCCCAGGCAGGCTCTGGGCTGATAGCAGGGCTCCATCTCACAAACTGTGAGATCATGACCTGAGCCAAAATCAAGAGTCAAACCAACTGAGCCACCAGGGCATTCCAAAAGGAAACCGTCTTTTGACTAAAGTAGCACAACGTTTACCCATTTGATGTTAGAAGTAAAAGGTAAATCATGAGACTCTGCAGGGTGCTGTTTGAATTCAGAATATCCAGTGATAACTCAGGAGTAATATGCAGGTCTGAAAAAGATTATTTGTGATTTTAGCATTTGTAGAAGGGAATAAAACTGGTACAGTAGAGTCTATGCATAAGATTAATTCAGAAAGCTGAGTTTTAAACCCAGTGGGGCTCCAACATAATCATTCATGGTGGAACATTCAGCTTGCACTGAGACCCAGGCAAGTTAAGTTACCAAGAGAATCCTGGAATCCTGTGATATGATGTGTTTACAGAGTACCCTGAATTTAATTATCTGAATTCCCAAGTAGGTAACATTTAGGACTGAGAATAAGATTTCACACTAAGGGATACTTTTTTTTTCCTACACTTATTTATTTTGAGAGAGCACACAAGCAGAGGAGGGGCAGAGAGAGAGAATCCCAAGCAGGCTGTGTGCTGTCAGCATGGAGCCCAACATGGGTCTTGATCTCATGAACCATGAGATCATGACCTGAGCTGAGGATGCTTAACCAACTGAGCCAACCAGGCACCCCTAAGGAATACTTTCAGACAGAAGGAAATAACGGCAGTAGCTCTGTAACTATTTACAGGACTATACAGCTCAGAGCCTGGAGCCTGTTTCAGATTCCATGTTTCCCTCTCTGTCTCTACCCCTCCCCCAGTTGTGCTCTGCCTCTCTCTATCTCAAAAATAAATAAATTATAAAAAAAAATTAAGGACTATAATACAGAAAAGGAATTTTTCATATGAATACAGAAAAATCAATGAGTAAAATATGAATGGGAGCAGACTTCTGTCCCATATAGATACTGCTTTTCCAGCAAATAGAGACGTTAAAAATTGAGTGAGCTCTTCTGAGGTAGTAAGCTCTCCATCCCTAAAGAGTTCCGGCCAAGAGATATGTCAGGGTTGTATGCAGGCATCTTGTACAGGCTTGGAGACAGGACTCGACAGTTTCAAAGCTCTTCCAAAGGTCGGAGATCATAGAATGCAGTACCTTAGGTTAAAGAGATGGGGGAGCAGGTGTTTTTCTAAACATTATTTACTTTAGGATTAGGATTACCACAGTGCCCCCCTTTGGTTAATTGCCTTCCTGATCTCTTTAGGCGGAGGTGGAGGAAACCCTAAAGAGGATCCAGAGCCATAAAGGGGTTATTGGAACTATGGTTGTGAATGCAGAAGGTAAATATGCCACAGGATGCCTTCTCGACCCACAAAACCAACCAAGGACTTGTTTGCTGTGCCTCGCCCAAGACAGACATCTTAGAATTTGAAATATAAAATATATTTTCTGTGTTTTAGGTATAACATGTACTTACCAAACATCTATTAAGTATCTCCTGTATACCACGCGCTCTGCTAAGAGTTAGAGATATAAATATGAATCAGACATGTCTACAAATATCTCTGTATTTCTCAGAAACACTATACATGTGTGATTTTTCAAGCTCTGGTAACTCTTCTAATATTTCAGGAATGCCATTGAAACTATCATATTGAAGATAGAGAGACTATCATTGTTGGCAGTTTGTTTTTATTTTAACATTATAAAGGGTACAGGGTTTCAGTCTTCATGTTAAGTGAAATTGTCCCTTTACCACACTTAACAAAATCTTTGAGAATCAATCTTAATACAACCTATGGTATAGCCTTTGTGGATGCAGTATAAGAAGGCCCAACGCGTTTCCACCTAGGAGATCCATAGACTTACCAGCAACTTGTGCTCATCCCATAATCCTCATTAAGGACCCACAAAGCCTTTTCTCTGGCACATTGCTACGTGCTCAGCTCTGGTGGCAATCTCTTAAAGGCTCCCGCTAGTTCACTGCTAATTCAGGCAGTTGCAAAGGCAAGAAATACCACAAATCCCAGCGCATTCGTTGAAATGAGAGTAGCTACTTCACAGAATTCACGGCACAACCACAGAATTGGTGCACTGCCAGGCACAGTGCTTTGCAACAGAATCTCACAGCTAATCATTATTTTGGCTCACATCCATCAGTAAATTTTTATTGAGCAACTACAAACTACCATCTGTTTACACTCAGACGTCAATCCCTTAGCAGTTAAAAATAGAATATAACCTACTTTACTGAGGGTTATGACAGTTAGATGAAATACTGATTGCTCGGTGCCTAGCACAGTAGCCAACACTTAACAGAATTATAATTAAATAGTTCTCACAACGTGGACATTTTTAACCGATTTGTACAGCTAAGACATTTGATGCTTAAATAAGACATTGGAGGTGTTTTTGCAAATAATAAAATGAAAACACCAAATGAATAAATTCACCCAGCTTGAGTGATCAGAAGGGAAAGAATTTAAGGCCCAGCCTTATAGGTAAGAAAGAGTTGTGCCCAGTATTTCCAGGAAGCGGTGCAACGCTAGCACATTGTTGCGTCTGCAATGATTTTCATCCCTGGCATGCTCCTCGAGTCCACACACCCCCTACGATGGGCTACGTGCGGGGCTTCAGAAAAGTAATGTATTCATTTCCTTCAGCTGTCACAACAAGGTACCACATGCGTGGTGGCTTGAAACATTAGAAAGGTATTCTCAGGTGTGCAGGCTGGGGGTTGAAATAAGGGTGTCAGCAAGGGCAGTCTGTTCTTTGAAGGCTCTACAGGACCCTGCCTGGCTGCTCTCTCAGCCTCTGGTGGCTTCTGGAAGTCCTTGTGTTCCTTGGCTTGTAAACGCATCCGTCCAGTCTCTGCTTCCATCGTCGCGTGGTGTTCTCCTCTCTGTGTCTATTTTCTCTGCTTGTAAGGACCCCAGTCATTGGATTCAGGCCCACCCTAATCCAGTGCGACCTAATCTTAACTAATTACATCTGCAGAGAAGCTATTTCACATGATAAGGTTTAAGACAGACTTGAATTTGGGGGAGAAAGATACTATTTAACCCAGGACAACTCATCTTACGAGTGACTTTACAAGATCGTAGTCAAAAGTACATAATCCTAGCCCTATGTATCACATGTCCATAGCCTGCGACCTGTGACGTCACTCCTTAGGATGAAGAAAAAGACTTAGCTGCAAAGGAAACTCACTGAGGCATCATGCACAACAGCAGTAAAGAAACAGACAAATAAGTAAATAAATCTATCCCAGCATTTTTAATTCATTATGTAATATTTACTTGAACCATTACTCTATTTAACATGTTGAAGAATATTTAGAGTCATGGGAAACAATATGAGATGAAAAGAAGCAGGGAACAAAGCAGTAGCCAACATTTTCTAATTGTAAACATAGCCAGCCACACATACATGCTTAAATATGGAAGAAAAGGCAGGGCTACGTTACGGTGATGATCCCTGAGTGCTGGAATTACAATTGATTTTGCTTTATTCACCTGAAATTTCTCAATATTTTTCTTATCCAACAGCAGCAAAGTATTATTTTTAAAACCCATTAACTTCTTCTAATTAACTCCTACCGGAATCAGATTATGTTAGGATTCAGGGCACCTTTCTGAAAGTCAAATTAACCATTTCCCCCTAAAATATAAACGAGGGTCTTATGTTTGTGGTCAGATTATTAATAACCCGTGTGTACGACAAGCATGTTTCTTAACAGCATATGGTATAAATTGCGTGAACAGAATTAATAAAATATTCCATTTCAGCAGCCTACTCAATTTTAGATGAAAGTCCCATTTATTACGGTGCAGCTTGGCAGCTTTCAGAAGACCCAGGGACCTTAGCACTGAAAAAAAAAATTAACTAAGACGGTGTTCACGTGTTCTTGTTCACCACTGGTGATTTTACTGTAATTCTCAGTAAATCATTTTCACATATTTCCAGGTTTTATTTGTGGCGAGGTGGGCCTTCTACCATGTTTATACATTTACATCTCCTCATATGGCATCTTAAATGGAGTCCTTCAGTTTCACTGTTAGTAAAACCTAGGCATCCTGTCCATGACAATAAAACAGATTTATCAATTTAGCCCACTGCAGAGCGGTATAGGTTTTTATTAGAGTAGATTCTTTGTTAACATCAGTTTCCCATTTATACAACCATTCATGGTTTACTGTATTGCGGTACTGATTGTTGAATCAGATACTGGTGAATACATCTATTTCTCAGACGGTCATAACTATCCCATATTCTTATGTATATAAGCCTGATTTCCGTAGGCTCTTAATTTTACATATTCTTGACATTTCTAACCATCAATCATTTGAATTTCATTAGACTTTATCAGCCAGCCAGTTCCTTACATTTTTGAAATACACTCAACCCAAGTACAAATACACAGTTGAAGAGAACCAGCTTACTGGGATCATAAAGAGTCATACTTTAAAGTAGTGCCATAAATTCGGCAATATCAAATTCATATTCTTTGTCCTAGAAGTTCCATCGTGGGGATTTACACCATACATACACACAAACGTGAAATGGCATGCGCACGGACATATTCTGTAGCCTTGCTTATTAAAGTCAAAGCCTGGGAACAGCCTAAATGCCCACCGGGAGGATATACTCGTTACGTGTATCACAAGGCATCCATTCAACAGTCATGTGATGAAGCCATTAACACGCCTAGCCGTAGCTCTATGTGTACTGAATAGAACAATTTTCCAAGAGTATTGCATGAAAAAATTTTTTTACAGACTAGAGAACAATAGAATTAAAGAACAAAGAACACAAACGAAAACATACTTGAACACACTTAGACTATCTCTGCAAGGTTCCCAGAGAAACGGGGCGCAGTGGTCACCTCTTAGAAGGGGCCGTGGGTGAATTTTATGCCATGTGCTAAAATTGCTCCTTAATAAATTATTTTTTAATTACCTTCCACGGTACCAAGCAAAAACTCAATAAATATTTGTTGATTGATTTTTCTTCCAAGTGGTCTACAGTGGATATGAAAACCTCCAAGAGCTTCCACGGCATGCACTTACTATTCAGAAAGGCTAGCTGTTTTATTTATTGACTTGGATCATGAATAGACTAACTAAATAGGCCTGAGCATTGGATTCATAATCTTGTCATCTACATTTTAAATAATTTATTCTGGCTGTATTTTGTGTTTTGACACTGAGTAGCGCACACTTTGGAGGTAGTCACTATTCAGGATGCAAAATAAAACCAGTCCTCAGAAAGGGCTCTTAAAAGGCTGAGTGCTTGCTACCTTTCAGCTCCCTGCCTATTAAAGACAGGTGCCTTGTGACGTCTCATCAGGTGTGAAAGGCATGACTGACTTCGGGAGAAAGTGGCCAAGAAATAATAATACAGAAATTAACAAACTTGATATAAAACTTTGTTTATTGAGCAGGTTTTCCTGTAAATCTTGTCCTTGTATTGTTTGGCAAGACCTATTCCAGACGGAACAGTTTTCTTAAAAGAGACTGTTTCACAGTCTGAAGGGAGGTTCTCGAAGAGTTTCATGAAAAGCTGGTAAAATCGTTACATTGTAATAGTGTTCCACTCTCCACGTCCCCTCTTGCTTAACAGTTTCTGGAATTGCATTCTCTGAGGGACAGCCCAGAGTTGTGTTAGCCTCTTTCATTGATTGGCCTTAATTCAGGTGCCTGTGGGGTTCGACAGCAACCCCAAGTTCACCTTCACACAGCCCCCTAAATTAAAGGCACGTGTGCAGATCGAATCCTTGGAATTCCCTGGCTGTTTGGTAGTTCTCACAATAATCTGAAAGCCCTCTCAGATGAGACACAATATGTGTAAAATACCCAACACAGCACCTGTTAAAAAGTAAGCACTGAGCACCGAGTGAGTGACCAGAATTGAACTGGATTGATTTGAACTGAATTGAATTATACTTGCATATTTGTCTGGCTGGATTTTCCCAGTTAAATTAATAGGTTCAGTTTTAAATTCGCATAATGGAACAATAGAGCACAGGAGCAGCTAAATTTAATAATGCTTAAGCCAGGAGTGAGCGCAAGCCAGGGAATGCCCAGCAACACCAGTGCCTTTGCGGCTGGATTCTTTAATATAAAATTTAAGGTTTGCAAAATGCTGTATGAGGAGTCACAATGAATTTTTTTTTTCTAGGAGAGAGAGAGAGAGACAGCGTGAGCGGGGGAGGGTCAGAGAGAGAGGGAGTCACAGACTGAAACAGGCTCCAGGCTCTGAGCTGGCAGTCAGCACAGAGCCCGACGCGGGGCCGGAACCCACAAACCGTGAGATCATGACCTAAGCGAAAGTCGGACGCTCAACCGACTAAGCCACCCAGGCGCCCCAAAATTTTTAAAATCCCTTTTGATATACTCCTCAATATGTGCTGTGATGTCCCTTTCTATTGCTGGTCTCGGGGGAGGAAATCAGCACCACGCCACAGACCAGGCATTTCAAAGCAAAATGGCTATGGACCGGCTGCTTGGAGGAGGGCGTCATGTAGAGTAACATGTGAACTCAGTTCTGAAATAACGAGTTCGCACCTTCCAAAAACAGTGTGCACGAAAACCAAAAAACAATACCTAACAATCTAACGATATGGGGATTGGTTAAATAAGGGTATGTTATAAAATAGTGCATAGCCATTAAAAATAATTTGATGACAGTATCACTGACAAGAACAGCTTGTCTATGCTGTCATTTAAATGAGGAAAAAAGCAGTAGTCAAATTTGTAATGATGGTTTGACGCAACTATATTTTAAGATCCACGTAAAGACAAAAAGACTGGAAGCAAAGAAACTAGAATTGTTACCGGTGAGTAATATCGGCCATAACTTTTTCTTCGTCTTTACAATCATCCGTATTTTCCAGTATTTCCACAGTGTGCGGATTCCTTTTATAAGCAAAAATGTTAACCCAAAAGCGACTCTCGTAACAGGGATTCCTATCCGAACAACCCTGGACAACTCGACGACGGTTCAGTAAGCGGGTCTTCTTCACCAGCTGACAATGAAAGCCAGGAGCACGGTCCGTGACATTGATCCTCAGAACGACCTCACCTTTCTTAGGATCCGATCAAAGAAACATGAAATCATGGTAGCCCCAGGTAATGTGGCATTTCACTTGGTATTTAAAGCATCTTCTCCTTTACTGGATAAAAGCTTTGTTTCAAAGAACTGGACATACAGATTTTAACATGCAACGTGGCACGTGATATTCTCCAATTACAAAATGAAGATGGTGGAATCCGAAAAACCCAACCTAGAAATTTTGTGAAATTAGCGGCAGACTTAACCTTTGATGAATTTGAGTTTTGTCCATTTGCATTTATTACCAGTAATCAAAATAGGGATAATGTAGGGAGTGGATCAAAGTCCCGTAGGGTCTTAAACCTTCCCTGGGAGAGAACACATCCACCGGGCCTGCCTAAAGACTTCTCTCCTTGAAGGAGTTACATTCACAGGGTTCGCCAATGTCTGTGTAACACAGGACTCACGCTCCCGAGTCTAGTCTAGAACCAACTTATCTAGAGAAGATCTCTAAGATCATAATTACCCATACACTGTGAGCTGTGCTCTCACCCTGCTGCACATTAAAAGCACTTGGAGAGCTTTACAAAAACAGCTGTTGATACCAGAGGCCTTCCCCCAGGCCGGTGAAATCAGAACGTCTGGAACCGGGGTCCCAGTCATGGTAGTTTTTGAGAGCTTAGCAGGCGATTCTGACGTGCAGCCGGGGTGGGAAGCCATTGGTCTACAGAGAGTCCAAGCGATGTTTTGAAGAGAAAAGCAGATGAGCTGAAGTATTCACTCAGTAAGTTGAATTCTTCCAGTGGATTAACTCTGTCCTTTGTCCGTCTCTCTCCACAGATAAGGAATATCTCCTGATTGTCATTCAGAATCCATGTGAATAGGCCTGCTACAGCGCAGCCAGTCCTGCGATGCCTGGTTGAAAATGCTTTACTCTTTAATTATTACTAAGATTATATCCCCATCTAACCGACCTTTCGGACACTATTTTCTATTTTTACATTTAAACTATTCCGCACGTCTCTTTTAGTCCCTTTCGAGTGTATTGTAACGCTGTGATTTAGTTATGTAATAAATGAATTCTGATATGGAGGTCTCTTTTTTTTCTTTTCTCTTTCTTTCTTTCTTTCTTTCTTTCTTTCTTTCTCTCTCTCTCTCTCTCTCTCTCTCTTTCTTTCTTTCTTTCTTTCTTTTTGTAGTACACCAAACTGAAGGATTCTAGTGAGAATCCTAGCAAGCCTGCCTTGCAACAGTCCTCATAATCTAGAGGTACGCCAAGAATCGGTGTGTGGCTGAATCCTTTTGCCCATTCCATTAGCCCAGGAGGGCCCATGGATCCCCGCAGGAGGTACAGGCACACTAGATGCTGTTCCAGGTTAAACCCAGGACATAAAAAGTCCGAGGAGTGGCCCTCGGCAGGGTCAGCCCCACAGCTGAGCACCTCCTCCCATAACTCCAGAGGGTGTGTGTTTTACTAGATATTTCAAACATTCAGAAAATAATGAAACTAATAGTAGAACAAATAGAACAGATTTCCGAGACCCATTAGAACAGATGTTAATATTTTGCTATATTTGCCTCATATCCTCTCCTTTCTTAATTAAGCCTTTTATTTTGATATAACTGAGGAGTCACATGAACTCGTAAGAAATAACATGGGGATTCTGTGTGCCTTTTACCCAGTTCCCTTAACTATAGCGCATATTTGACTTTTGAGTAATTTTCCCACAGCTTTTCATTTTCAATAACTTCAAGCCTACAGAAGAGTAAAAAGAACAGCAGTCAGCACTCACATAAGCTTCATTCACATTCACCAACTTTTAATATTTTATATTTGTTTCATCTCTCTCTTGATATAAGTAAATTTCTCTCTCTAGATATACATGATACACACACGCGCACACACATACACACACATAACCATAACCCCAATTTCATATTTAAGGCATTTAACATTGATACAATACCATCTAATACACAGTCATATTCAAATTTCCGCAATCGTCCCAGTAATGTCCTTTGCAGCCTTTTTTATTTTAATCCAGGATTCTATCAAGGGTCGTGTGTTGCACTTGGTTACTGTGTCTCTAATTTTTAAGCTGTTTTTACAACACCTTGTTCTCTATTTTCCACCTCTAGGTGGTATCGAATTTGTGTTCCTGTCCCTAGAATCCCCAGTGCCACCTGCTCGCCACACCCAAGCCCCTCCAGACAGGACCCAGATGCAGCCTGTAAATAGAGAAGATTTAGCTGAAGAGCAGATCTTAGTCACGGACCTTCCCTTCCTTCCACATCCTGACCTGGACCAGACACACCATCCTGGACCCAACCTCATCCTTCAGACCAAAGAGGTGTTGGTACCATAACTCACTCACCCAGATGCTTCAGCATCTGCTGACAGTTCCAAACATAAACGAGGTCTTGTTAGAATTCAAATGGCAATAAAATGCACTTTTGAGGCACAGGACCACAGAGATGACCTATCCAACCCCTTGATTTTACAGGTGAGGATTTCACCTGATCATGGGTCAGGTGACTTTCAGGAATTGGGCATGTGGGTTCGTATTGGACTGGTCATGCCTATGGAATTGGTGCTTATGCTCTTGGGAGACTGGCTCTACCCCTTCCCAAAAACGTGTTTTTAGGAAGTAAAAATTAGTTCATTGTTATAAAATGTACCAGAGGTAACATTTGATTCCAATTCCTAAATCTGTCATCTCGCCATAGTTTTCCCGGCCCGCCCAGAGCTCACCAGCAGATGCACGGCTGAGTGGCAAAGCCACTTCCTTCCTCCCGACCCAGCCAGAGATTTCAAGCCCCATTTGAGATGTAGCAGTGGGAAGTCTCCGGCAGTGGCAGATGACGCCACTGCTAGTGCCCAGGCTCCGTGTGGGCTCTTCCTGGGAAGAAGCCCCTTCCGTCCTCCTGAGCAGGGAACTCTGCTCTCATCCTGCCCTCACTTCTGCAGCCAGGGGACACTGTAACCCTTGTTGGAGACAGAGACTGTGGCAACAAAAGGTAGAACTTGCCAACACCAATTCCAATGGAGGCGGATATGATCTCGGGGGATTTGTCCCACCCCTCTCTCTGCCTTCCAGCACACAGACATCCACATCCCCCCCTGGATTCATAACAGCATCGTTAATTAACTCTATTTAAAAGGTGCCTGAATGCATAGACTAAAGAGATCCACATCCATGTAAAACCATTGCCAAAGCTTTTGTTTCCTATGAGAAGTACAGGCCTGGGCTCACTGGTACCTCCCCATATTGCTATAAACTTTACCTGAACAATGGGAGAGCTATTTGCAGACTCTCTGGGGGAACATATCCCAACTATAAATATTAATGATAATGAACCTGTAAATGCCAGCTTAATAAAATAGCTGAAAATGCCTTTATACATCATTAGCATTACAAGCTCCCAAATCTTCATCACTGAATAGCAGGGCCATCCTGGTAGAGAATGGGCAAGAGCTTGCCCAAAGCTCCTGTAAGTACAGCCTCTCACAGTCCCTTTTACTGGGTACATTTTGGTTTTTTAGTTAGATTACCTATCCTCTTCAAAAATAAAAATCACCATAGACTAAGACTTGGATTTCCCCCCTTTCTTAGTCTTTGACAATTACAATGATCTCTAGTATGTCTTTGACCTGGGGCAAAATATCCTTACTTTTCTGACATTAGAAAAGAATCTACTGCCCTTGAATAGAAAACTAGAGTACGTTTAGGTGAAATGGCCACAGATATTCATTCAGTCAACCACTATTTGGTCTTTTATTCTATTTCTTTTTTTTTTTAATGTTTTTTATTTATTTTTGAGAGAGAGAGAGAGACAGCATGAGCAGGGAGGGTCAGAGAGAGAGGGACACACAGAATCCGAAGCAGGCTCCAGGCTCTGAGCTAGCTGTCAGCACAGAGTCCAACGTGGGGCTCGAACCCATGAACCATGAGATCATGACCTAAGCCGAAGTCAGACACTTAACCGATTGAGCCACCCAGGCGCCCCTCTTACATTCTATTTCTTTAAAAAAAAAAAAAATCATATTTGGAGCTATAACGTATAACAGAGCTTTCAGAGTGGTAACATCTCCAATTACGAGCCTGAAAGTGATAAATCAGAATCTGAAATCCTGGAGCTAAGAGTGCTCCCATAATAGGAAATCACCTCTAGTAATGGAAACTCAGCCATCCATGTGGTGGCTTGGAATATTCTTAGTATCTTAAATATTGCAGGTTAGTAACACTTTTCTGTATATTTCTTATGAAAATGTGATCAGAGGGTTGAGTTAGCCATGTACTCAGCCATTCCTTGAGCACAGAGAAAAGAAGACCGAACTTCTCCCTCCGGGGTTCCTTCTCTAGGAAACTTCCACGCCTTTGTTTCCCTTCACCATACATGACCTCAGGATTCACTCTCTAGATATCGCCACCATTAAACAACCCTACTGCACACAGAAATGATTTTAAAAAATTCTCATTCTTTGGTCAACTTTACAAGATGAGGTGCAACATGGTGCAATTGGAACAGCCTGAGACCCAGAGTCTGACTCTACTATTTACTGATTAGCTGGGTTCAAACTTCTCTAGCCCTCAGTTTACTTGCCCACAAATGTATCCACCTGCAGTGGCCTAACATTCCAAACTATATAGCATAGATGCCAATTGTTGTCGTTGTTATTAGCAATATTGGCAACATAAAACAAGTTTATCAGAACACGAGCCATTTAAGATACCTCACTGTGGCCTCTTCTAATCTTTAACCACATGCATAAATAGATTTAAAGAGTTATAATCCTGTGCAACACACAATTTTCTCTAATTTCCTTATTTATCATTTAGTAGGGAGTTCCAGATTCCTATCTGGGGTTTTCCTTAATATCTATATGCAATTCTAGCAAGGTTCTCAGTGTCCCAGGGGAGGCCAATGAGAGATGCTTTCTTGGTATCTAGATTTGGAAGACCGTCAGAAAGAAAGTCCCCACGTGGCTAGAATGATGCAAGGGTGCTGGGGTGCCCCAATTTTCACAGGAGAGTAGCAGAAAGAGCCCATTCTCAGGAGGAAGGAATGCAGCTGCCATGCTTTGTCACACAGAGCAAGGACAGGGTATTCATTCCGCGGGTTCTCTGCCATGTTCCACGTCCTCAGCTACATTTTTACCCTTCGGTTTATGAAGCGCCTCCAAAGCCCACTCGTAATTTCCTCCCTTGTGTAGATTACCGGGGTGGGTTTCATCTGTTGCCCGTCTGAGGCCTGTAACCAAAAAGTCCTTACCTAGCCATTGCACTATATTTGGGTCACCCCTGGCTGCTTTCATCAGAGCTGGTCCAGGAGCCCAGTGGCTCCCTAGGAAGTGTGTATTAATCAGAGGCCCTGAACAGATGGATGTGACCACCCGCTCCCTTGCTTCCAAATACACCCCATGGCTTTGGCTGGACAGAAGGAGAAGCCATTGCTGGGCTCTTTTGGAGCAGAGCCATGGGTGGGAAAGAGATACTGAGACTTCCCTCTTACTGAGGTATAGGGTCTCTACTTCAATTCCACCTGCCTCGGGGCCTCTGCCTCGGACATTGGCTGGAAGGAGAACTGGCCACCTGGATTCTGGGCAGATGAATTCTCAAAGCACCACTCCAGGTGGCCCTGGGTGTCCAGAGTGGCAGGAGAGCCATCGGAGAGACAAAAGGGATGAAGAAGTACAGCACAGACTCACTCGGCAGCCAACTCTCCCCTTGTGCCCAGAAGGCAGTGCAGCGTCGAGGGAGGATACTGCTTTGTAGCCAGACAGGTCTTCTGTGACTCCCAGCTTTGCCGTCAATAACAATAATATTGGTGATAATAATCTATTATGTTATTATTTTTGGAAGAAGAAGAGGAAGGAAAAGAGGGGAAGGAAGAGGAGGGGGGAGGGGAAGAAAAGAGAGAACGAGCAGCAGCAGCTAACATTTGTTGATCACTTCCTATGTGACAGGCGCTTTAGGGTTTCACAACAGACTCATTTTGTGAACAAGAACACCAAGGCTAAAAGAAGTCTCACAGCTTGCCCAAGGTCAATCAACCTTTTAAGTGTCAGAGGAAGCACCGGCAA